CGTGGCAGGTCCAAGGTTTCCTATCGACTACCTCCAACCACCATCTAATCTCAATATATAGTGCCCGTAATGTCGAATCACCTAGGCTGGTGGCCACATTGTGACATGGTCGATAGTATTCGATCTGCACTAATAAGGACTAGACACGCATGACATTGATCGCCACCCAGTGATCAACCAATTGTGATTATGATCAAGTATAGAATTTTTATAAAAGAAACTACAATTACTCGGCTTTGTTTCACTTGAATCTTCCCATTGATGTTTAAGACTGCAATTGGTCATCAGTCTCTTATCGGCATATTGCCTAGATGTTACGTTAATATACAAGCTTTATAAGCAAAGATGGATAATGGCTAACGATCAAATCCAGGACGAGCGCGTCTTCATCCTATTTATGATTTGTCAACTGGATGTACTTGCATCTCAGAGTTGATGTTCATTCTGAGACTCAAACCCAGACTACCGTTCGCTTGAAACGCCATCGTGTTATCCACTTAGTTACTGAGTCCTGATAACCATCTGCTTGTGAAATCGAGTGAAGTTTCAATTCACTACAATTACTTCTATTTTCTAGATGAAAACTAATTTAACAATTTTTTTCAGAGAAAAAAAACCTTTTTTTGTTTTTGTTGTTGTTGAGACTATTCAACTATGTTATATGTGACTATACAAATTTGTCTAAAAAAGGCGTCAAATTTACTACAAAAACAAACACAACCAAACATGATTTCATATAGTTGACTCCAATCTTTCATCATTAGTTCCCATATTTTCTTTTTAGAGAAAAAAAAACTGTAAAAGAATTGTGCACTGTTAACATATGAGTCATGGAGTAAACACAGGCGAAACAACTGACTTCACTTAAATCTATATGTATGTATATGCATATCATAAGCTTAATTGAAATGTATTAAATTAGTGTAATGTATATGTGTGTAACGTGTGTGAGATATATTTAACCATTGTTAGTCGTCGTGTTGAAAATATTAAAAAAAAAGAGAAAGAATCCATGCTTCTTCTCGTCTATCATGTATCCTTAATTGATACAAACCATTAGAAACACTTGTTGTCTAATGAATTTGTATATATATCTATATATTATAAGTAATATATTTAGTACAATACATTGATGTAGGCTACATTAATAATAGAATTTTTAATTATTGAACTTTGTTCAGAATGTTTACAAAGAATAATGATAAGTTTGTGTATGTATTTCATTTCAATGAATGGTGATATGTTTCAGGTACTTCTTAGTGCAGATTGAATGTTATCGATCAAGTTGCACTTGTAGCCATTAGTCTAGGTGACTCAATATTGAGTGCATTATATTGAGTTAAGATGGTGTTTAGAAGTATTCCTATAGAAGGTCAGTCAAATCAATCAAACTAGTGCTCATATTACAACTTGAACGATAGGATTTGATCTGCACTATGAAGGATCAGAGATTGATTGCCACCTAATAATCAATCAATTGTAAATATATGTGAGATGGATAGCTCAGAGTTTACATTTCTGACTGTGAATTTGAGTGACACAGGATTGAATCCTTCAGGGAGTATCAGTTCCTTCAAGACTACAGGTATACCTTGATGACGGGTGCCGAAATAGCACGAAACCCGGATCCATGGTTTCCTGTTGAATACCTTCAACCACCATCTCATGTATTTCATTCAAATATTTGAAGCAAATGTTTATTTTCTGGATAGAAAAGTTTAATACTAAAAGATGAATGAATGTAATAGTGTAGTTTAACAGGTAAATTTAATGACTAGTTTACATCAATCATTGTTTGAGTAGTGACATATTAAAATGTATTCGCTACATGTTTGTTTGTGTTTTATTTACTGTCACAGCATACGAATAAAGAATATGGATTTGATGTATTTCTTAGATGAGGAGTGATGGCTTAATGAATAACTCATTTAAGTTTCAGTTATCAAGTTACAGTTTCGATCTTACTTACTTACTTACGCCTGTTACTCCCAATGCAGCATAGGCTGCCAACCAACATTCTCCTCCTGGAGCACTTCTTGGGCTATTGCCAGTTCCAAGCTCTGATAATTGAGGAGAGTTGGATACGAGGTTAGCGACCCCATCCTGTAGGAAACTAACTCGCTAAAACAAAACGATAACCAGTTTCGATCTAATCTCCATTTATATCATTTTGGCTAATGTCACTAGTTTCTTTGGACTTTAAGTATGATTCATAGTTAAGTACACAGAAAGTTGTATCTGATAAGTGAGTAGATAGAAATGCATTAGAGGAATAAAATTGCTTTTTTTATATCATTTAGATGAATACATTAACTTTCTTTTTCGATTATTTACAGATTATTGATATCGTTTTGGGGATATTTCACCTTGAGTCAAGTAATTAAAATTAATTGCTACTTTTTTCAAGACTTATCAGATTCTAGTATCAGAAGGGGTTTTAAGGAGATTGTAGTCATTTCAATAGTTGAGATCATGAGTCAATTGAATTTAGACCAACATAAAAAACCTAGAAGTAGTGAATGGCTAACTCGTCCTATTGTCGAACTTCTCAGCAGTGCGCATCCATCATCCCACCTCGCTAGATTCGAACCCAGGACCTATTAGTCTCACGCATGAGCGCTTAACCACTAGATCACCAAGCCGTTACTTTTTTTAAAAGATAATTTAACTTAAAGAGAACGAATAAGTACCAGATCAGAAGTTTCGTAGTGAGTATGTTACCTTTACACTATCAGGATATACAATGCTACAAATAGAAAACAAACTTCTTACTGCTCGTTGGTCATTATTGTTTTTAAAGTTAATATCTTTGATAAATACAATTCTTATATGAGATCATGCATATATTAAGCAACAAGTTTTTTTCATTTCTTTCGGTAATTCGATAAGTAATGAGTAACTGATTGTAACCATGTGAACAATATGAATAACACTAAACCGTTTGAAAGTACTTACAATTCACTTGTATTGGATTTTATGCTATTTCCAATGTCAAAACATATGTCTTATTGAGTTAGTTTACTATTGAGAAAAATCACTGAAGACAACCACACAAATAAACAAAATGTTTCAGTTATCTCAGTGTTAACTGTTTACTTATTATTTGACTGTATGGTAGCAGAAGTGTAATATGCTAAGTACATTGAATGTATGTTTGTTATCTATAAAGGTTCTTTTAAACCAATAGCTTATAATTATTGTGAATATTATGTATAATATACAGGATGTTTCTTGGAAAAAAAATTGGTTCAGATATTAATTAATTTCATCATTTAACTGATTAACATTATATGCATCTACTCAGAACATGAATCCAAATGGCTAAAACAATAACCAGGCTATCATAGCATAATTAATTTGATCTAGCAAACCATATCCCAGTGGGGTAAGAAATCAGGAATAAGCGCTGGAAATGGATAAGACACACATTGAGGAAAGCACTCGACTATGTCACAAGGCAAACCCTCACATGGATTCCTCAACGCCAAAGAAGAAATAAAAGACGAAAGAAAACATTACGCCGACAAATGGAAACAAACATGAGAAGAATAAACAACAATTGGATAGAACTAGAAAGGCTTAGGACAGTGTGACTTGGGGAATGGTAGTCGACGACCTATGCTCCGTTGGGAGTAACAGGCATAAGTAAGTAATTAATAGGATGGAACAGACAAAAGGTTCTATAAAGATCGTTCTTGAATAAATGATTAAGTAATTAAAAAGGATAAAGATTTCGTTGTTTTCGGTACGAATGGTTGAATATTTAAATCATGTTTCGCATGACATAAGGTGTCAGCTATCACATTTTATATTATTAATTACTGTATCATTAATTATGTATGTAGGCTCTGACTGAAAAAAAACTTGCCTGTCTAATATTTTTATAATCGTCTATTATTCAAGTCATACATAATTTTGTTAAACATTGCTCATTGCGATTATGAAAATGGTTCATTCAAAGGAAAATCACAAAAATATGTCATTAGTATACTTATGAATATCAACGTTCAAATAAAATGTACATGAATATGAGAAGGTTGAGAAGATTTGTAACTCAAGTGGATGATTTTGATGGAGTTTTGTTCTGTAAGCTGGATGGTTTGATTGTGAAACTTTCATCGTTTGTGCTGATGATGTTGTTCCGCAGACTGATGAAAGCTTCAAAACCAAATCATCCAGCTTAGTGTACTTGGATGTTTTTCCTATCACTATCTACCTCGTTTTATATGTTACTTTATGTGATGAAAGGTGAACTAGGTTTGTAACATTATAAGCTGAAAATAAAAAACAATTTATTTCTACGATTCAATACATATATTTATCTGATTCATAGTTTTGTCTAAATTCAATGTGTTTTGTGTAAAAAATGTAACCCTCTGGAAGTTGAAATCTTTCCAACACCGTAGAATATTTGTGTGCTATAAAAGAAATGACAACTATTTACAAACATTCATTTAAACGCTAGTCAAATGGTGAAAGACATGTGAAAAGTGAATAACAATTGGATAGAAATAATAAGGAAGGCTCAGGACAGAGTGGATTGGAGAATACCGGTCGGTTGTGAATAACAGGAGTAAGTAAGTAAGTAACTAATATTCTCCATGGTCAATCGACATATTAAAATATGGAACTGTCAATATATTACTTTGTTCAATCCAAGTATTACTCAATATATAACTTAAACAATTAATCTTGTTACATAACAAAACTATGTAACAATTGAATTATTATCAGAAAGGGCTTTGTGGAGATTGTAGTAATTTAAACAGTTGAGATCATGAGTCAATTGTAGCTAGACCACCATGGAAAACCTGGAAGCACCAGATGGCCGTTTCGTCCTATTGTGGGACTCCTCAGCAGTGTGCATCCACGACCCCGCCTCGCGAGGTCGTACATAATCCAACCTCAATATATATGATTCTGATCAATTTATATTATGTCATATCTTTCAGATAAAACTGAATAATAAAAACAAACATACAATACAAACATTAACTTACTTATTTAATCAAATATTATTTTTGGTACTGTCCTTTCAAATAATAAATAAACGGAAGACATTCTTATTCGATATATGTAATGATAAAGTTCCATTAAACGAGATTATCTTTAGTTAGTAAAAAGGTTTGGTTCAAATAAACTATCCAATTCATTGATTTAATTGATAATGAAAATGTTTGTTTGTTTGTTTGTTGAAACCTTTTTTTGAGGAGATTTTATTCAAGTTTTTTTCTTGGTTTTGTTTTGTTTTGTTTTTCTTCCTTTTGAGTAACATCATCTTAAATGTTGGCAAGTATTTATCTGATTCATAGAATACCAATGAAACGATTGTAATATTTGATTATAGGCAATTTTAATTGACCAATCATATGATAGATTTAAATTAGGCGGATAACTTGGTTTCAAAACATTGACCAATCAGATGTGAGCTTTCAGATGTTGATTAACCAATCAGGTTTTTCTTCATATTTATAGAGTATAACATTACAAACAAGTTTGTTATGTCCCCCCCCAAAAGTGTCTGAATGTTAAATGAAGCATGAATAAAACACATTATTTCTATTAAAGTTTAAAGTGAACAGTTTTATCAAACATAATTAAAGAATTTCTTTTGAAATTAAAGATGGATAATGAGTAGTAGTGGAATTAAGGTCACACTTTTCATCCTATTTGAGACTGGTCAGTTGGATGTGTCCACATCTCAGAGTTCGTGTTCACTCTGAGACGTGATGACGTTTGAAATAACCGGTGCTGAGTTTGAGTCCAAGAATGAACATCCAATTTGAGATACAAGTACATCCAGCTGAGTAGTCTCAAATAGGACGAACATGCGCGTCCTGGATTCTACTGTTAGCCATTATCCATCTTTGCTTATAATGCTTATGAATTCAGGCAATATCGATGCAATACACACAGGATGCACATATGCCAATAAGAGACATTAATTATTGTCCTAAATAACAATGGGACGATTCAAGCAAACAATACCAAGTGAATTTCTTTTGAAGTTCCTGTTGGGATTGAACATTCTTTTGTTCTCAGAAAATTTGTAATCATTGAAATTAAACCGAAATTATTATTTTGATTCACATTAATTTACTTTGTAACATGGATGAAATGAAAATACAGACCTAGTTATTTTGATTTTGCGAAGGTCAAGTAATTCTTATTTTTGGAATGGAGGTTTGTGGAGATTGTAGTAAATTTACTAATTGAATTCATGAGTCGATTAAAGCTAGATCATTAAGGAAATTAGGAAAAGACACTGAGGTTGGATAGAACAAACGTTATGTAAATCACCAAACTGTCTCACTAAACAAGCACTAACTTGGAATCTTGAATGAAAACTTAAAAGAGGAACTCCGAATAATAAACTGCGTTGGGAATTAGGAGCAGACATGAATAGGATCAATAGTGACTGGGAAAAGTTGTAAAGGATAGCGCAGGACAGAGTTGGATGGAGACTGATGATGGTTGGTCTATGCTACTCTATGAGGAGTAACAGGCATAACGAAGTTAGTAAAAATACAAGACATTACTAATAGTGGGAAGATGTACATACACCTACAATAATTGTAATTCAAGCACCATTACCGACGTTTACCAGGTAATTTCAAATAAATTAAGCGTTAGATAGACTGTTAAAATCAAAATAGTCAAGATAGAAAGGATGTTTTGACTATCTATATCAACTTCTACAATAAAATGTTAAAAATTGTATTTAACTTGGCTTGTTTCTCATACTGTAAACATCAACATGTTTAAACTTATCCTTTCATATTACAAATGTCACATATTTTTACATTCATTAGCGTATACACAAATACCATAATATGTCGTATATTGAATCATTCAAACCGGACTGATATAATATCCACATGATTCAATTTATTTTGTTTGATACTTATATACTACTTAAACTTGTGTTAATTTAACTTGAATAAGTAACTTGTACTAAGTTGTGAAACATTCAAAATTAACTTTCTACCTAACAGGGTTTTTACAAAAATATAATATTAACATTCCACAAGCCAATGTCTTTCAGGACTTAATAGCTAAGAGGATAACGTCATGGCGTTTGGAGCGAACGATACCCTGGGTTTGAGACCTGGAGCGAACATCAACTCAGACATACGTACATCCAGTTGATGAGTCACAAATAGGACGAAGACGCGCATCCTGGATTCCATTGCTAATCACTATCCATCTTTATTTATAATGCTTATAACTTAAGGCAATATCGAAGCAGTTCACATAGGATGCAAATATGCCAATAAGAGATTGATGATCATTTGCAGTCCTAAACAACAATGGGAAATAATGAATACCAACTGAATATAACATTAAGTGATATATTAGAAAGTTCGACTATAAAAATAAACAAAAATCTTAAATATATGTTAAGTTATAAAGCTTTTATATTTGCTAATGAATCTCCCCTTTATCTCCATATAAGTTTACGATTGGATGATCACAATGATGAAGTGGTTTATTAATTGGATTATTATCAGATCTACCGTCATTAATTAATTAATTAATTAATTAATTTAAGAGGGGGGGGTGATATTATTAGATTTTTATGATTAATTGTGAACACCTTCATTTTGACGTTTCAAAACAATGATATACTTTACTCATTCTAATATAGAGATGGTTACAAATTGAAGGTCTATATCAAATTCACAAATATCTCAAATAGTTTTGAACAATTATTAAAGGTGTTATATTTAATGTAGACAAGAAAAGTAATTATTCGATATAAAAGAGTTTCTGTTTATATTCCATGAAAAATGCCCAAGGCATTTTGGTCTTCATGCTTTAAGAATTTGATAATAATATGATTAACGTTGGGTTTTAGTGAGTTAGTTTACTACTGGATAGGGACGCTAATCCTATATCCAATCTACCTTCTTTATCCGAGCTTGGGATTGGCAGTAGCTTGAGGAGGGGGGGGCTCCAGACGGAGTTCATATTATATAGATTTATACAATAAACATAAATCTTCTGGTAGAAATAAAGTGATATATTTATCTCTTTAAGAAAACTAAATAATAGTCAATAATGTTCATCACATAAACTGTGATAAAATGTTCCAACACTTAGTACTCTATTGTCATTCTTAACTGATTTATGAAGTTTAAAACAGCCTTAGGATATTTTATAATTTATTATTAATTATTTATATATTGTCCATGAGTGTAATGTAAATTACATGCTGTGCTTGTTTAGTCTAATATAATCATATTTCACCCAAAAAAACTGTTTTTTCCTTCTATCGAAACTAATATAATTTATAGATAAACCAATCAACTTGAGGAATAACAAGATCTTTTGAATCCCAGCTCAGTGGTCCAGTAGGTTAAGCGTTCGCTTGTGAGACTGAAGGCCCTGGGTTCGAATCCTGCGAGCGGGATCGTGGATGCGCACTACTGAGGAGTTCCACAATAGGACGAAACGGCCGTTCAGTGCTTCCAGGTATTTCAGTGGTGGTCTAACATCAATTGGTTCATGATCTCAATCAAAAAGATCTTTTGGATTTCGATGTAAAATCTTTTATTCATTTAGTTAAAGAGCATTTTAAGATTTTAGCCTTATGTCAATTCTTGATAAGAAAAAAACTGTAAATTTAATTTACACCCCTCCTATCCATCACTTCACCCTAGTCAGTAGGAGAACATTCTCAAGGCCACTTGAGTGTCGTTCAAAAGTCGTTCATAAATTATTGTCTCATTCTCATTCTTCTCACTAGTACTTTATCATATTATAGAAACTCTGAAAAAATCTATTTTATCACACATTGAAATATATTCTATAAATGGTTGAAGTTAGACATTAACACCGTTGGATGCCGGCCGGCTCAGTAGTGTAGTTTGTTAAGCGCCTGGCGCGAGACTGATAGGTCCTGAGTTCAAATCTCGCGGGGGCGGGATCGTGGATGCGCACTTCTGAGGAGTCTCATACTAGGGTGAAGCGACCGTTCAGTGCTTCCAGGTTTTCCATGGTGGTCTAGCTTCAATCGATTCATGATTTCAACCAGTATAATAAGATTGTTAGACAGATTCAGAAAGAATACTCAGAATAAAAATTTCAGATTATCAATAATCTGTTGCAGAAATATTTTTCTGAATGATAATTGCTGAGACACATTATTCTGATGTTCATCGTTGATTGTTTTCAACTTTCTAATATTAAGCATTATCAATGATAATGTTAAGACATATAAATAAATAAATTTGTATAAACATAATCGAATAACTAGTATAGGGGTTGTGGAGATTATTAAGTTTTTGATTGAGATCATGAAGCGATTGATGTCAGACCATCGCTGGAAATCTGGAAGCACTGGACGGCCTTTTCGTCCCATTGTGGGAATCCTCAACAGTGCGCATCCACGATCCCGCTCGCGGGATTTGAACCCAAGGCCTTTGATCTCGCGAGCGAACGCTCAACCTACCGGACCACTGGACCGGCATCCATAATTGAATAAACTCAGCATATACACAGTAGACATAACGGTTCATGATTTCCAACAATTTTATATGAGAAGGGCATTTGTAGATATTATAGTAATTTTTGTAGTTGAATTCATGAGTCAATTGAAGCTGGAGCACCATAGCAGGATCGTGGATGCGCACTGCCTCTGAGGAGACCCATACTAGGACGAAACAGCCGTCCAGTGCTTCCATGTTTTTCATGGTAGTCTAGCTTCAATTGACTCATGATTTCAACTATTAAAAATTTTATATGATGTTACGATTGTGATAAAATGTCATACTACTTTAAAACATGGAGATATTACGATGAAATCTAAAATTTATCATTCCATTTCTAAAAGTTACTTTAAAGTCTTCATATTTTGGTTATCCTTTAAACGTTTAACATTTTTATAAAATGTAATAGATAAATCACCAGGTGGTTTTCGTAGGGATCCAAAACCGGAGCCTTCTACCTAAATGTTTGATCTACAAGGGAGTGGAAAACCCGTAGAGATGGAGACCCGTGGTCTCTCCTTGTCCACCAACCTGGTCAAGGTGCCAGATATTCGATTTTCGTTCTCTCAATTTCGTAAACAGTACTCGTGTTGTGAGAAGGTAGTGAGTATGGCTTATCTGTCAGTGGTTATATATACGTGGCCATATGAGAGCATTTGGAGAGGGAGAGCTGACTCTCCCCATTCTCGACCGTACCAGGGCATTCGGGGGCTATGAGAACTACCGTTGACTATGATTACTTTAACCATATAATTCATGTATGAGCAGTTGTAAGCTAAACACACACAGAGAGAGACACCAACT